AAGGTAGCCTTCAGTGCTCAGTCGCTTCAGTTGTGTCTGACTCTTTGTGACCCATGGACTGTAGCCCACCATGCCCCTCTGTCCATGGGATTCTCCAGGCAAGAATACTGGAGTGGGCTGCCACTCCCCTCTCCAGTAGATGCTCCTGACCAAGGGATCAAACCCATGTCTCTTCATGTCTCCTGGTTTGGCAGGCAGGTTCTTTACCACTAGCACCACCTGGAAAGCGTCCTTCGGTAGGTGAATGGATAAATAAACTGTGGTGTATTCAGGCAATGGAATATTATTCAGTGTTAAAAATAAGTAAGCCTGGGTGGGAGGGAAGTTTAGGGGAGAACAGATACATGTATATGTATGGCTGAGTCCCTTTGCTATTCACCTGAAGCTATCACAACATTGTTAATTGGCCACACCCCAATACAAAATTAAAAGTTTTTTAAAAAAATAAGTGAGTTATCAAGCCATGAAAAGACACAGAAGAACCTTAAATGCATATTATCACGTGAGTGAAGTCGATTGAAAAGACTGCATACTGTATGACTCCAATTATACGACATTATGGGAATGGCAAAACTAAGACAGTAAAAAGATCAGTAGTTGTTGGGGACTGAGGGTTGCAGAGAGGAGAACAGGTGGAGCACAGAAGATTTTGGGGGGGGCAGTGAAAACGCTCTGTATGATAGTGCAATCATGGATACATGTTATTATACACTGGTCCAAACCCATAGAAAATTCAACACCAAGAGTGAACCCTAAAGTAAAGTATGGGGAAATAAGAAATACAGAGGAAGGCATTAAAACAGGAAATGAGGAAAACATAGGCAGAACATCTTCAACATAAGTCGCAGCAACGTGTTTTTGGATCTGTCTCTTCGGGTTATGGATATAAAAGGAAAAATAAACAAATGGACCTAACTAAACTTAAAATACTTTGCACAGCAAAGGAAACCATAAGCAAAATGAAAAGACAACCCACAGAATGGGAGGAACTATTTGCAAACAATGTGACTGACAAGGGTTTAATTCCCAAAGTATACAAACAGGTTATATAACCCAAATGTCAAAAAAACAACCCAATCAAAAAGTAGTCAGGAGACCTAAATAGACATCTATCCCAGATAGATAGCCAACAGGTACATGAAAAGATGCTCGACGTTGTTAATTATAAGAGTAAAATGCAAATCAAAACTAAAATGAGGTATCACCTCACACTGGTCAGATCTGACCATCATCAAAGTCTACAAACAATAAATGCTGGGGAGGGTGTGGAGAAAAAAGAACCCTCATACACTGATGGTGGGAATGTAAATTAATGCAGCAGCTATGGAGAACAGTATCCATATGATCCAGCAATCCCACTCCCAGGCAGTTTTCTAGGGAAAACTAATTCAAAAAGATACATGCACCTCAGTGTTCATAGCAACTCTACTTACAGTAGCTGAGGCATGGAAGCAACCTAAATGTCCATTGACAGGTGAATGGATAAAGAGGATGTATCATATAAATATATACACATACACACAAAACGGGATATTACTCAGCCATAAAAAGGAATGAAATAGTGCCATTTGCAGAAACATGGATGGACTTAGAAATTATCATACTAAGTGAAGTAAGTCAGACAGAGAAAGACTAATATCATTTATATATGGAATCTTAAAAAAATGATTCATATGAACTTACTTACAAAATAGAAATAGACTCACAGACATAGAGAGCAGACTTATGGTTACCAAAGGGAAAAGGCAGGGGGAGGGATAAATCAGGATTAACATATACACACTATTATATATAAATTGATAGCCAACAAGGGCTTACTGTATAGCACAGGAAACTATATTTAATATCTGTTAATATCCCACAATGAAAAAGAATCTGAAAAAGACTAGATTTACACACACACACACACACACACACACACATATGTATAACTGAATTAGTTTGCTATACACCTGAAACTATCACATTGTAAATCAACTATACTTCAATTAAAAAAGAAAGGAATCGGGTGGAGAGGGAGGTAGGAGCGGGGATCGGGATGGGGAATACTTGTAAATCCATGGCTGATTCATGTCAATGTATGACAAAAACCACTACAATATTGTAAAGTAATTAGCCTCAAACTAATAAAAATAAATGGAAAAAAAAAAAAGATCTGTCCCCTTAATCACATCTGTAGAGGCTGTTGGTATAATATAAGGTAATATATTTGCAGGCTCTGGGGTTTAAAGCATGGACATCTTTAAGGATTATTATTTTGCCTGCCATAAGACATGATGATATCACTATTGTTTTATTATCAAACTAAAATTTGCTAATGTCATAAAGTAAATAAAAGAGAGAGGAAATAAATAAATAAGGAAGGAAGTAGAAAAAAAAGCAAAAGGATAACTGGATGAATGTAAGTTAAAGGATCTCATTCAATGCTTCAACAAAATAATCAATAGAGACATAATATATTCCTAAAAAAAATAAGAAATGAGGGTCAGAAGAAGATGAAATGAAGATGGCTTCACTGGTGAATTCTACCTGGCTATGAAGATGCCTTCACTGGTGAATTCTGCCTGGCTAAATTTTTTTGTGTGTGTGGGATTCTTGCCAATAAAAATAATTTTCTCAACTAAAATCAGAACATTAGCACCATTCTGGCTGTCCAGTCTCAGTCCTGTACAAGAAATACTAAGGTGATCCACTTGTCAGATATCTTAATTTGTTCATGCTGCTATCACAAAATGTCATAGACTGGGTGGCTTATAAACGATAGAAGTTTATTTCTTACAGTTATGGAAGTTGGTGCAGCAAATTTGGTGTCTGATGAGGGCGGCCTCTTGGTTCTTAAATGACTGTCCTTTCTCTGTCCTTACATGGTGTAAGGGGTCAGGCAGCTCTCTGGGGAACCTTTTGTAAGGATACTAATCTTAATTAGGAAGGCACCAGCCTTATGACTTAATCACACCACACCCCAAACATCATCACACTGGGGATTAGGTTTCAACATGTGAATTTTAGGGGCACACAAACATTCAATTTATAGTACCAGGCTATTCTCTGGAACCAGGATCCAGTCATGAGGTCCCAGGACAACAAGTTGGCATGAGTCCCAGGGCTCCTTGGGTAGAGGCCGTTGAGAACTCCAAAGAGAGGAATGTTGGACCTGAAACCTTACAGTGTTGTCCAGGCTTGGGCAACCTTCCAGGATGACACTGCTGGCCCTGGCTGGTTCCAGGCACTGGAAGGGCTCAGAAAATTTCGTGGACGACATTCCAGAGCATGAAGAGTGCTCTGTACCCCGGAGGTTCAGAGTCCATGGCAGGAACCAGCCCCAGATCTTTCCTGTTTGTGTTCTCATTAGAAACCCCCACCTGATTTCCTGTAGTTTGAAAACAACCACTCTAAACTTCCTGGTGGCTTCCCTGATGACACAAACAGTAAAGAATCTGCCTACAATGCGAGAGACCTGGGTTCTGTTCCTGGGTTGGGAAGATCCTCCTGGAGGAAGGCATGGCAACCCACTCCAGTATTCTTGCCTGGAGAATCCCCATGGACAGAGGTTGGGGTCCATGGGGTCGCAAAGAGTCAGACACAACTGAGCGACTCAGCACACAGAACAAAGAGTTATTTTTGATGTCTCAGCTCTGGCTGCTATAACAAAACTATCCTAAACTGGGTGGCTTATAAACAACAGAAATTTATTTCTCACAGTTCTGGAGGCTGGGAAGTCCAAGATCAAGGTGCCAGTGTGGTCAGGTTCTAGTCTGGTTGAAAAGAGGGTCCTTTTCTGGTTGCGGACTACTGACTTTTCATGACATGGTAGAGAGCAGGGAAGAGAAGCAAGCTGTCTTGAGATTCTTATAAAGGCATTAATCTTATTTATGAGTGCTCGAACCTTATGATCTCATCTGATCCTGATGACCCCCCAGAGGCCCAACTTTCTAATACCTTCCGCATGGTAGGGCAGGGGTTCAGTGTACGAGTTTTGGAGGGAAACAAATATTCAATCCATACAGTTATTTACATATGATCAAAAGTTTATGGAGACTGAGGTGGTATCTACAAGCTACAGCTGACCCTCCTCAGGATACTGGTCCAGCCATGGATAGGAATATTTGGACCCTTTATATCCTTTCCCAGTGTAGTGATTCCTATCTGTGATAAACTTTACACTCAGTTGTCTCTAGGCCATATAGCAAAACCGTAATCCCAATAGACCTTAAAGGGACAGAGCTAATGGATTATGTATATAGTTATACTAAAGCAGATGTTTTTGTATATAAGAATTTACCTCATTGAAAATATGTGGCTATGTGATATCTGATAGAAAATGGATAGAAAATAGAAAATCTTGGCCCACCTTGCTTAAGATCAATGGCCAAAATTTGTGAATCTGATTCATCCTTGCAGGAAGGAAAAATTACTAAAATGGCATATTGCACCAATGCAACATTGTAAAGCAATGTTGCTTTACAACTAAAAAAACAAAAAAATGGTATATTGCTAGATGTCTTTATACTCAACAATGATAATTTCACCAAAGGATTCCTCAATAAGATAATTAAGATAAAGTTGAAATTATTTTAAAAATTAAAATATATGTAATATATAAAACTAAAACTTGGTTCACTGAGATCAGAAATATAGATAGGCTTTCCTCAGGGCCTTATTTAAGAAGAGAGAAATAAGTTATATATATATATATATATATATATATATGGAATTAGAAATGATATAATATAAACAGATAAATATGAGATTCAAACAATTAGAAGAGGGTCATATAAAACTATGGTAAAATATTGAAAAATTTATCACCTTAATTCAAAATATGTTCAAAAAAACATACTTTGTATCCTTACCGTGCTATTCAGTGGGATATAGGGTAAAGCAAAAGAAAGAATGTTGCTGGGTTTGCCTCACAATACAGAATTTGCTATCTCTTCTGTTCAGGTACTATTTTAAATGGCTGTCTGTTTTACAGAAAAGAATTTCTGCTTGGAAATTGAATGGCTCCTGAGAAAATGACCAACTGTATTGTTTTGGACTCAAACTACGCTGAGCTGGTTCTAGATGTGGGAAAAGTCACTTTGGGGGAGAAGAAGAGAAAAAAAATGAGAGATTCTCAACTGAGAAAAAAGCAGAATGAAAACCTCTCAAAATGTGTGATTACTTTGCTGAATTCTGGAGGGGGGATGAGCAAGATTGAAATTGAGAATGAAGATTATAGTTATGAAAAAGATGGAATAGGATTAGATTTGGAACATTCTTTAACCGATATGGTTCCAATTGTTCATAAATACTTTGACTTTGTGAAACAAGGTAAATATTTTCTGATTTTTGTCAAATCGTGGAGCTCCAAAATCCCTGGGATGAAGATCGCCACCTTGAGTTCCAATTTGTACAAAAGAGATATAACCTCTGTAAATGTCATGAATGCTACCGTGGCACTGGAATTCCTTAAAGACAGGGTAGAAACTAGAGAGAGATTTTCTTTAATGTCGAAATCATCTTCAAAGAGGTGCCGAGAAGAAACAGAAGAAAGTAGCACAAAGGCCTTGGCTTCTGACTTTTTTAATAGGACGCAACTCAGGTACAGAGAAAAACTCACCTTTACTGAATCCACATATGTGGAAATTAAAGACTTCTCAACACAAAAGCTGTTACAACGCATTAAAGAGATTCTCCCTCAAAACGTTTCTGCATTTGCAAATACTCGTGGGGGATATTTGTTTATTGGTTTAAGTGAAGAAAAACAAGAAGTAATTGGCTTTAAAGCAGAGAAGAGTGACCTTGACAAGTTAGAAAGAGAAATAGAAAAATGCATCAGCAAGTTGCCTGTCTATCACTTCTGTATGGAGAAGAAGAAGATAAATTATTTATGCAAATTCCTTGAGGTATATGATGAAGAAAATCTTTGTGGATATGTCTGTATGCTTAAAATAGAGCCATTCTGTTGTGCAGTGTTTGCCAAAAAGCCGGATTCCTGGCATGTGAAAGACAATCAAGTGATGCAGCTGTCCGTGGAGGAGTGGGTGCAATTAATGATGGATCCTGAACCAGGTGAGGAAGGGGGATTAGAAATAATGGTGCATTTGGCTGTGGCAGCGAGGTTTTTTGTTCTGTGAGATTGGGGGCAAGATCAATAGTCCTCAGATTTCAACACCTAATTTACTAATCTTTGGTAGATACAAGCAATAGTTTGCTATCTCTACCTGTTTAGAAGGTAGCTATTCCATACACAGAAGTATATTATCTTCTCTCCACAGCACTACCTGGTGTAATTTTCCTTCCCTATCACCTCAAGGAAAGCCTGTGAATTCCTTCTCCCTTTTCCTTCAGAACTCAGTTTCAGTAACTGACCATTTCTTTCTCTCAGGAACACTTGCCTCTTTTATGTACTTGCTCCTTCATTTTTCTTTACACCTTTCCCTTAAAACCTCTTCCCTCTTCCTCTCCTGTTTCTTCCATTTGTGGACCAACATATAACCCTATATTGGACAGATAAGAAAAGGATAATGTTGGTATTTTATCTGATTTTTGGAAAAGGAAAGCCTCCAGTGAAATTGGACCAGCACTAGCAACTTAAAAATCTCTGAAATTGCAAGCCTTATTCTTAGAATCTGCATGAAATTAGACTCTCCTTCACTAGCCATCATGTTTTCTAATTTTAATTGCTTTTAAAATGAGCCCAGTTATATGGTAATGTATTCAATTACTATTCATGCACTTTCCTATTAATATTCAACATAGTATGCTTCAGCAGCTTCAAGGAATAAATTTATAACTTTTGTCTGACCTGGGAATCTATCCACGATATTTAACAATATTTCTATTGGGAAAATGGGGTCATTTCTAACCAGACTTTAGATATACAAAGCATTTAGTTGATATACTAAGCATTTAGTTGTGACAAATTAAGAAAGTGGTTTTTGTTTTTTAAGATTTTTCCAGGTTGTTTGAAGAGATGAACCTTCAACGAAGTATGTTATCACCAATTCCCCATGATTGGTCTGTTGATAAAGGTAAGAATTTAGAAAGTCATCAGCAGAGATATCACTTTAAAGGTAATTTAATTAGGGTTTCTTTGGACTTGTTTGTCTTTTCAAATCTCCTCTTCAAATCAGCTGTGTCTTGAAACTTATCAGCAAATCTTATTCTGGCATTCAGGGGAATGCTTTTGGTGTTTTCAGCATGGACTATATCAAAATGTAATATTTCAGATTTTGAGTAGACTTTTTCTTGGTGTAATAGGAGCTCCTTTCATTGGAAATAAGAGAAACCCAAGTCAGCTTAGTTTAAACCAAAAGGAAATCCATCATGTCAGTAGGAAGTCTGTATTGAGACCCAGCTTCATACACGGCTATATTACATTATTGAAGAAAGACCAACAATACTCAGAATCTCTGATTTACCTGTTTTTGTTGTTATTGTTTATGGGCAACATGTTTGTTGTTTTCTGCTGTTTAAACAGTGTTACCTTGAATATTTTTCTTCAGCCTTCTGTCACATATTTGTGAAGGTTTTTCTAGGGTGCACACCTAGGAGTAGAATTGCTAGGTCAGGAAGTATATGAATATCCAAGCAATAAGATAATGCCAGATTGTTTTCCAAAGTAGATGAGTCACTTTACTCCCACCAACATGTTAGAAATGGCACATCTTCTCCAGTTGTCAGCTTCTCTTCATCTTTCTTTTCAAAATCCTCCTTTTTCCCACTCAGATAGGTGTAAAATAGTATCTGTTTACATCTGCATTTCCCTGGTTATTAATTTGGTTGAGCATCTCTTTGTGTACTTACTGTCGGTATGTATTTTATTGCCTATGAAATGCCTATTCTGTTGGTTGCCCATTTTGCTATTAGGCTTTTGTCTTTTTCCTGTTGATGTGTAGGAGATTCTAGAATCCAGATCCTCTTCTGATCATAGGTATTACAGGTTACAGAAATCTTCTCCAAGTTTGTAGCTTTTGTTTTCTCTTTTCTTGAGGCTGCTGCTGCTGCTAAGTCGCTTCAGTCATGTCCGACTCCTTCAGGCATTATGATGATTATCAGCAGCTTGATATTTTTGCTGATTATAACTTAAACTTAAAATAGTCCAAGTTACCAATATTTAAAATTTCTGTTTCACTGCTCTTTCTGCTTTGTGTATGAGATCCTCTCTAACCAGAAAGTTAGAACCATATTTCCTTTCATTTTCTTCTAAAAGTTTTAGGGTTTTGCACTTTATGTTTAACATTTAAAGCCTCAATCTATCTCAGTGGTGATGTAAGGTGGTATTTCATTTTATTCCATGTGGAGAACCACATTGTTGTTTTTTATTCACTAAGTCGTGTCTGACTCTTTGTGATCTCCCTGGACTGTAGCCCACCAGGCTGCTCCATCCAGGGGATTTCCTAGGCAAGAATACTGGAGTGGGTTGCCATTTCCTTCTCCAGGGGGATCTTCCCAACCTCGGGATCAAACCTGTGTTCTCCTGGCTTGGTAGGCAGATTCTTTACCACTGAGCCCCCAGGGAAGCCCAGTAACCACATTACCCAGCTCCAGTTACTGAACAGTTCCCACTTTCACCCACCAATTTGCCATGCCATCTCCAGCAATATTACTAGGTATGTGTATAACTATGTTTCTAGAATCCCTATTATGTTCATTTGGTCAATTTGTCTGTCCTTATACACACTATACTGTCTTAATATTGTAATATTGTTCTAAGTACTTAGCAGGGCAGGCCTGCTTACTATTACTCTTTTTCTTTGAGAGTGTCTTGGCAATTTAAATCATTTAATCTTGGAGAAGGAAATGGCAACCCACTCCAGTACTCTTGCCTGGAAAATCCCATGGACCGAGGAGCCTAGTAGGCTACAGTCCACGGGGTTGCAAAGAGTCAGATGTGACTGAGCGACTTCATTTCACTTCATGGCAAAATGTCTTGTGTGAAACATGTTTATCTTGATTTCCATGAAACAACAGTCTGCAGTCTAATAAAACTTTTATCTACTGTACGTAGAAAAAAAATCATTTAATCTATGAAACAAATTTTAGAACTGTTTAAGTGCCACAAAAAGCCCTTTAAAGATGTTGATCGCAGTTACACTGAATATATGGATTTCAGAAGTGGCATAGTGACATAATTTATATCAATTGGCCTTTGTACAAGTGAGCATAGGTTTTTAAAATGTTGTGTTGTTGTAACTGATGTTACCTTTTTGTTTGGCTGCACTGCTTAGCTTGCGGGATCTTAGTTCTCTGACTCAGAACTGAATTTGTGCACTCAGGAATGAATGAGGTACAAAGTCCTAACCACTGTACCACCAGGGAATTCTCAACATTTTACTTTAAAAGTTACATTTCTTTCTTATTTGTTGCTAGTGTGTAGAAATGCAACTGATTTTATATATTGATTTCACACCACCTTGTTAAAATTTCTTTTTATTTTAAATAATTTGTTCATAACATTGCTTTCCGGACTTAAGAAAATATCATTAAGATATTGTGTTGCAGAAACCAACAAAACGTTGCAAAGCAATTATCCTCCAATTAAAATAAAAGAAAAAACTACAGAGGCTTTGGAAGATGCTCTATTCCTCCAAAGGGGATTCTGTTTCTTTCTGCAGGTAGATAGAGTACCAGTGATAACCTTGATTTTTTGTTTTAAGGTTTGTTTCATACTCTTCTAGCAATAATATCTTTAAATTTTGCCCTTAGCATTATTAGGTCTTGGCTCTTCTTGAGTCTCAACTCAAATTCTGAGGTGTTAACCACAGGCCTTCCGCTTTTCAGGGACTTGAGTTCCAGTCTAAGTCACCCCACCACCGTGAGGTTGATAAAACTCAGGTTCAGCTCTTTTTAACTTCCCAGTTGACATTTTCTTCTGGGTTGTCTGCATCTCACCCTGTATCTGCCAGTGAGTTGAAGGAAATGTGTATGTAGAGTTTGGCTGCATTTCTGCAGTTTTATCTTAGATTTTCCTTCTCGAATTATAGTTCCTCTGGTAGCCCTGAATGCCAGTCTCTTTTTCCTCAGCCTAGTAAAACTGGAGATTTATGCTTGCGCTGTATTTACCCATGACATGATATGGAAAATATCCTCAGGCAAAAAGCTGGGATGAATGTGGTGCTACTTCCTGTGCTTCCATCAAATATTGTGACCCTTTAAGTCCTGCTTGTGTTGGTTGCTCTCTAGTTCTTTAAATTTCTGTTTTTATATGTTATGCAACTTTTATAGTTGTGTTTGGTGGGAGGGGTTGGTCTGGTACAAGCTACTTTGTCATGGTTGGAATTGGAAGCTTCCAGTGTTTAAACATTTATTATGGTTATTTTCATATCTAGTGCCATCAGAAAAGGTGACGTATATTCCAGAAATCCTCTGCAAGAGACTGTTCTCACAACATGAAGGACTTGCACAGTTAATACGTAAAGAAATGGGTTCTGTTCATCATGGTACATTGATCTTTTCTAAAAGTTGGTCTTCGGATCTGGACTTGCAAGAGAACCAGAGTGTCATCTGTGATGCACTTCTAATTTCCCAGGACCGTCCACCAGTCTTATACACCTTTCTCAGGGAACTGAATGAGGAACTAAAAGGTTATTCTATACAAACTGCCTTAACTTTAAAGAAGAAACTGGTAAAAATTGGTGGCTACACTGGTAAAGTGTGTGTCATGACAAAGATCTACTGGAGTGAAGAATCTTCTATATTAACTGAAGGCAGTGCAAGACTTCTTCATGATTCAAGCTTATCTGCAATTTACCCTAAGTCCTACACCCTTATAACCAGTCAAACAATGAACGACTTAAAGAAGGCCCTTTTTATAGTCTTGAAGAGACTTGGAACTTTGAGTGATAAATTTGATTCTGAGATTTTTCAACATCTCTTGAGCAATCAGCATGGATTACTTTCTGAGGAATGACAAAAGGTTGTTTAAATATCGTCCAGTTCAGTTTAGTCGCTCAGTTTTGTCTGACTTTTTGCAACCCCACAGACTGCAGCACGCTGGCTTCCCTGTCCTTTGCCATCTCTCGGAGTTTGCTCAAACTCAGGTCTATCAAGTTGGTGATGCCATTCAATCATCTCATCCTCTGTCGTGCCCTTCTCGTCCTGCCTTCAGTCTTTCCCAGCAGCAGGTTCTTTTCTCATGAGTCAGCTCTTTGCATCAGGCAGCCAAAGTATTCCGCTTCAGCACCAATCCTTCCAATAAATATTCAGGACTGATTTCCTTTAGGATTGACTGGTTGGATCTCTTTGCAATCCAAGGGACTCTCAAGAATCTTCTCCAATAGCACAGTTCAAAAGCATCAATTCTTTGGCGCTCAGCTTTCTTTATGGTCCAATTCTCACATCCATACATGACTACTGGAAAAACCAAAGCTTTGACTAGATGGACCTTTGTCGGCAAAGCTTTTTAATATGCTGTCTTGGTTTGTCATAGCTTTTCTTCCGAGGAGCAAGGGTCTTTTTATCTCACGGCTGCAGTCACCATCTGCAGTGATTTTGGAGCCCAAGAAAATCTTGTGCAAGGCTCATCTGAATCATGAAAAGTGGACCAGGCTACAAAGATGTTTTTCATTATGTCGTCAATGTTGTTCTCAAATAATGTGAAAATATACCTCTGAAAAACTTTGCAAGGAAAACAACTTGATAGGATCTTGGAAAGTCTAATTTAATTTTCAATTTGTTTCTTTCTAAATGGTTTTCATAGGTGTTACTCAAGACTTTTTGTTGTATTTAGTCTCTAAATTGTACCCGACACTTTTGCAACTTCATGAACTGTAGCCCACCAGTTCGTGGGATTTCCCAGGCAAGAATACTGGAGTGGGTTGCCATTTCCTTCTCCAGGGGATCTTTCCAACCCAGGGATCAAACTTGCATCTCCTGCTTGGCAGGCAGATTCTTTACCATCGAGCCCTCTGGGAAGCCCCTTTAAAAGTTATTAGGAAAATTAATTTGTTAATTACTCTGTGCATAGTTCATGGATAAGTTTTCTTCCACTTTTAAGTTGCAAAAAAATTCCAATACTTTTATTTTTAACAACAGCAATGGAAATTTCCAAGACATACCCAGAAAACCTTTATAACTTAGAAAAGATTATAATTATGACATTTACAGTCTTTATAAGGAAATGAAGAAGAATCCAAAATTTGTTTCCCCTCCCCGCAAAATTCTCTGAATCTTCTTGGACTACTTTTACACTGTTCTCTAGGAGAAGTTATGACGTTTCTAATTGCTCAGCTGGCATCCTTAAGAACTCAGCAGAATAGTCAGTTTAACACGCGGAATTGAAGATGATATAGTCTTCCAGACAAACAAAAGCTAAAGAAGTTCATCACCACTAGACTGGTGCTGCAAGAAATGTGACAGGGACTTAAGGTGAAATGAAAGGGTGCTAATTAGCAAGATGGTCTCTGTCTTAGAATGGTTCGACTTAGGATTTCTTGACTTTACGATGGTACAGAAGTGCGTCACATTTCGTAGAAACTATACTTCGAATTTTGAATTTTGATCTTTTCCTGAGCTAGTTGTATGTGATACAGTATTTTCGTATGATGCCGGGCACTGGCAGTGAGCCACAACTCCCAATCAGCCATGTGATCCCGAGGGTAAACAACCAACGCTCTATAGTGTATTATGTTGCTTCCTGCTTCTGATGTGAAGAAGAGGAAAGCAATTACTCTTGAGATGAAACTCAAGATAATTTCCCTGCATGAAAGTGGCAAGTCAGTAATGGCTATCACATGCGAATTAGGACTTTCACAATTGATGATCTCGACCATCTTAAAGGATAAGCGAATCGGTGATGCAGTGAAATTGTCAACATTGGTTAAATCCACTGTCTTTGCGAAGAAATTACCTGGGCTAATTGATGATATGGGAAAATTTCTCGACACTGGAATGGAAGACCAGATACAGAGGAGCACACGACGTAGTCTACTGAGGCAAGTTTTTTCCATACGCTTAAAGAGTATGCTGACGATCTTACACATACGCGAATGTTTGTAGTGAGTAAATGTCCAGTGTTTCAAGAGGCATTGTTATTTTCATAATGTGAAGGTCGGTGGTGAGGCAGCAGGTTGCTGATACCAAAGTGTTTAAGGAAGTGCCAAAGCATTTAGGGAAGAGCTGCGTAGAATAATTGTCGATGAGAACACATATGTAATGTTGATGAAATCAGCTTGTTCTGAAAACATATGCCAGAGCATACGTATATTCATCAAAAGTCCAGGACAATGCCAGGATTCAAGGCTTTTGAAGACTATATAATGCTGCTTTGGGATAGAGATGTTGTAAGGTTCAAGTTAAAGCCTTTCTTAACCTACCGCTTGGAAAACCCTAGAGCATGTAGGAATATGAGAAAGCATATAGGTTCAGTTCAGTCCAGTCGCTCAGTCGTGTCTGACTCTTTGCCACCCCATGGACTGCGGCACGACAGGCTTCCCTGTCCATCACCAACTCCCAGAGCCTGCTCAAAAAAAGCATATACTTCCCGTTTATTGTTGCAGTAACAGGGAAGCCTGGATGACATTAGCATTGTTTGAAAACTGGTTTTTGAACTGTCTTATTCTGCACACAAGAGAATGTTGCAGGCAAAACATTCAATTTAAGACCCTTCTGATCACATCATATCAGCAGTGTGCTATAAAAGCTGTGTATTTGCTGCTGAACACAACGGTACTCATACAGTCAATGGACCAAGGTGCAACAGCTACATTCAAAGCACCCTATTTATGCCAAAGGTTTGCATATGCTTTTGAAGTGGTGAATCTGGCCAAACACTCTCAGAGATTTGGAAAGATTTTCACATGCTAAATCTATCCAGAGCATTGTTGTAGTGTGGATCAAAGTCACACAGCAATGAATGAAGACATATGTGAATATTCAAATGACTCTGCGGTTGATGAAATATTAAGTAACAAGATATTCTGTTGTTGTCTAGTCACTAAGTCTTGTCCGACCCTTTTGTGACCCCATGGACTGTAGCCTGCCAGGCTCCTCTGTCCATGGGATTTTCCAGGCAAGAATACTGGAGTGGATTGCCATTTCCTTCTCCAGGGGATCTTCCTGAACCAGGGATTGAACCTGTGTCTCCTGCTTGGCAGGCAGATTCTTTACCACTGAGCCACCTCACAAAACACTAGTGCTTGAGAAACATCTAGAATTGGACATTGATATAGAGGATATTCATGAGCTTTGGTGGCATCAAAGCTGAAGAGCTTTCCAGGGAGGAGCTCATCAAACTGGAGGTAAAAATAGTAAAGAAGTTGGGGGACTTCCCTGGCCATCCAGCGGTTAAGACTTTGCCTTTCAAAGAAGAGGGTGTGGGTTTTATCCCTGATGGGGCAGCTAAGATCCCACATGCCTCAAGGCCAAAATTCCAAAACATAAAATAGAAGCAATATTGTAACAAATTCAATAAAAACTTTTTTAAAAGTAACAAAGTTGAGGCGGAGGAAGAAGTTATACCAAAGCACCAAGAGAGTTAACAGCAAAGAAACTGGCAGAGACATTTACTACCGTGAGCAGGGGCATATGGATATTAGAAGAAATGGATGTCAATTACAAGAGGTTCTCAAGAGCTCACAAGCAGATACAGGATGCTCTTATTTGCTGTAGGGAAATTCATGATGAAAAGAAGAAACAAACTGTACAATCAAAGCTTGAAACCTTCCTAAAGAATACTGTGCCTAATTAACCATCAGCGAGTGTAGATGCCCCAGTGCTTCCTACCAGCTATTCTCAAGCCTCATCGAGAGACAGTTGATGACCTTGTCACTGTAGCATGAATATCATCCAGCAATTGATTTTAGTTCAATGTTTCAAACATTCTTCAGGCCTGCTGCGCTTTCAGCTGTCTGCTTTGATGGTGAGTATCCATACAACCATTTTGTTTTTCACTTTCAGTACAGTGATTAATAAATTAAATGATATATTCAACATTTTAATTTAAAAATAAGCTTTGTGTTAGATGAGTTTGCCCAACTGTAGGCTAATGTATCTGTTCTGAGCTGATTTAAGGTAGGCTGGACTGAGCTATGATGTTCAGTAGGTTAGTTGTATTACATGCAGTTTTGACTTAAAATATTTTTAACTTATGATGGGTTTATTGGGACATAAAACCATCACAAGTCAAGGGAGATCTGTAATAGGAAAACATATGAAAGTATAATTGATAGTCACTCAGTCGTGTCCAACTCTTTGCGACCCCATGGATTGTAGCCGGCCAGGTTCCCCTGTCCATAGAATTCTCCAGGCAAGAATACTGGAGTGGGTTTCCGTTTCCACTCCAAAAGATAAAGGGATAAGAATCTAAGTATACTACTACAGAAAGTTATCAAATCACAAAGCAAGTGAGTGAGAGAAGAAAAAAGAAACAGACGAGCTACAAAACAGCAGGAAATGGCAAAATGGTACTAAATACAAACCTGTCAATAATTACTTTCTTTTTTAAATGTTTATGTATTTATGTAAATAGTTGATTTACAATATTATATAAGTTTTACTATACAACACAGCGACTCACGGTGTTTTGTTCTGTTTTTTGTTTTGTTTTGGTTTTTGGCTGTACCACATGGCATATAGGGTCTTAGTTCCAGAACCAAGGATTGAACCTGTGCCCCCTGCAGTGGAAGCACAGATTCTTAAACGCTGAACCACTGGGAAATTCCCAGATGTTTGTTTTTCAAAACCTACAAAGACCAGGGGGAAGCATGAATGCAGCTCCTTCCTACTACAAATTATGCAGCCAAGTTCCCCCCATTTGGGGAAATTGCAGGAATGCAACACCTGGAATGCAATGGATGAGCCTTGCCCTGGGAAAACCACCTTCGTGATCACGTTATCTCCCCTGCTGGGTAAGTATATGATTCACAATTTTTAAAGGTTATCCCTCGTTTATAGTTTTTATAAAATATTGGC